TTGCTCACACTAGAAAGACTTGTAGGAACTCGAACCCTGCATGACTTTATTGATGAAAATAGTGTTTTTTGATTTAATATATAGCTACTTTTGTATGTATATAAACCCTAATATGTATTTTTAGATTGGTAGGAGAAGTAACTATGACAACCTATTTAGGATTTTTAGGGTGGGTTGGAATATTTCATGACGGCATTTGATGATAAGCTATCCCAAGTACTGCATGAAATTTGCTGGCAACAATATAAATGTATGAACAAATTAGTTCGCTTGCAAATGAATGTATTTTTGTTGTTAATTTATGTATCCCTAATATAAATTTTCTAATTCCAGTTGTGAATTGTCTCTCCAAGATTGTACATTATCGTGTTTAACTTTTTAGTTACATTAATTCACTTGTAAATAGACATATTTCTATTGTTAATTCACGTATCCCTATTGTAAATTTTCTAATTTTAGTTGCGATTTGTCTCTCCAGAGTTATATATTATCATGTTCAACTTTTTTAGTTACATTAATCTATTTGCAAATGAACATATTTCTGTTGTTAATTCATGTATCTCTGTTTCAAATTTCCTAATTCTAGTTGTGAATTGTCTCTCGAGACTTGTATATAATCATGTTCAACTTTTTTTTGTTATATTAGTCCACTTGCGAATGGATATATTTTTGTTGTTAGTTCACGTATCCCTGTTGCAAATTTTCTAATTTCAGTTGTAAATTATCTCTCATGAATTGTACATTATCATGTTCAACTTTTAGTTATATTAAAGTCCACTTGCAAATAGATGTATTTTTGCTATTAATTCACATATCCCTGTTGCAAATTTTATAATTAGAGTTGTGAATTGTCCCTCACAAACTTGTGAATATTTAACAAGCAGCCCTTTTATTATCAATTTTCGACTTATAATCCCCCATAAGTCATTTTCTCCAATAAGATCTTCACATAGTTTCCTCCCACATGGAAGTTACAAAATAATCTCTCAGGACTGCTAGCCATATCTCATCCCTTACTGCACATCATTAATGTGTCAATTTCAATCAATTATCAAAACTTAGACAGAGTATAAATTTACAACTGAAATTTGCGAATTTGCAATGTAAACACGCACTCTGGACAATTTAGTTTAATATCACTAATTCATTTATAAAAGAATATTAGGTAGAATCAAGTAGAGGATATTGGAAGAAAAAGGCATTATAAGACTCAACAGGCATTTGAAAGTAAAAGTTGACATGTTTGCAAATCTAAAAAAAGAAGACAATGCAACCCATCTTAAGTTCTAATAAGCTATTCATTTAGTTTCTTTCGTGTCCTATATTATAAAGCACTAATGATCAAGCCATATAAAACCTCACATATACACATAACAGCAATACAATGATTGTCTAGAATCAAAACCATATAGAACCTCCTTTGCACAACTCAAAAAAGAGGAAAAAAATCTAACAAAGTCTGTTTAAGTGCACAAGAACCCATACCACAGTAAATACATGGGAGGATGCCAGCTGAACCAAAATGAAGAGTAGTGGGAAGGAGAGCTTACTAGAACAAACTTGTTGAATCCCAATAGCAAGAAATAAACCATAGAGACGGCAATGGAATGCGAGGTTGACAGAGACGGCAATGGACTTGACAAAATGATAGCAACGGTGCTGATAAAACACATCTAAAAGCTGGAGGATGGAGTGACGTTTTCAGAGAGGAGCTTTAGGCTCTGTTTGGATAGCACCCCAAACCATGGTTTGGGGAAAATGCTACCCAAACAACCTCTCCAAAAACTAAAACCATGGTTTTGGGTCAAAACCATGGTTTTGACTCCAAAACCATGGTTTTGGAAAAAGCAAAATTTTTTTGCTTTTGGAGAAAAAAGGGAGAGTGTGAGGGCCTATATGATATGTATCTTGTTATTTTTTTTATAAACATATTTTTTTATAAATATATTTAATCTTATATTTTATAAATATATATAGACATTAATTATATTATCTTATGTATTATTAATTATGTTGGTAAAAAACATATTATTAACAATTTTATTTCTTCAAATTAAAATATATCATAAAATCTATTTTTTCTGTAATTATCATATTAACTTATGTCTTTTTTTTAGTAATTTGTATATATAAAAAGTGCTTCTGATAACAACTATCCAAACACTCTCACTTCTCAGAATCACTTTTTTACAAAATCTATTCTTCACAGAATCTATTTTTTCCAGAATCTATTCTCTAGAATCACTTTTCCAAACCACGGTTTGGTTTCATCCAAACACACCCTTAGTGAACAATTTGTCGGATTTTTTTTTTTCAAGTATTAGATGCAACAAACTTAAGGCACAACAATGTCTTTTTGCTCCAAAAATTAATTTCATTTTATACCTATAAGACTATAGTGAAGTTTTAGATTTTTATGGGAGCATTTTGAAATAAATTAGCTACAGTGACCCTTAATTGAAATTTTCCCTGCTTTATATAGCTTGTGGGGGGTCCATATGAGATTAATCCTTTGTTCGTTTCCACCTACTTTTTGCTGTGTTTTTATGTGGGGTGAAAAGGAAAAGGTCCCACATAAAAAAATTTTTTTGCCTCATTTAACATGTATGCATGTGGGTGTGAGTTAGTAATAAAGTTTCACATCAGTTAATTTTTAAAAAATTCAAGTGACTACTGTTTACAAATACATAGTGCTTAGTGCTGGCAAAAAATGCACCAAGTTCTTGAGTTTTCGTGCTCTTCTTTTTTCCTTTATTTACATTTTTAATATTCTTACTGTTCTGGTCCTTGTTTCTCGCAAGTAGGATTTTTTTAATCCTAATAATTCTTAAAGGAAAGTGTTTAATCAAATCTATTTTTATTTAATTTTATATTTTTGCAGTTAATCCTTCACTTGTTTTCCCCCCCACCCCAAATTCAGAATATGGAAAACAAACGATAGGGTAACTAGATCTATCTTGTTCGCCGATGACGGTTTATACATATACATACATACATATATATATATATATATATATATATTGTTTACATTTTGTATGTGCTTTATCATACATTTTGTACAGAAGGAAGGATAAAGTCGGTGCGTTCTGTCATGTCCCCCCACAACAGAAACTTAACACGTAATATAAGTTTCTTTTTAAAAAGCTGAGACTGTGTCCCTCATGTCATGGGATCCGCATTCCGTGCTCATTAAGATAATGAGCACAAAACGTCCACGTTTTAAGTGCTAAGCATGAGGGACCTTTTTTTTTATTACAAAAAAATATGTGTATTAGAATTATTTTTAGTTAAAGTTTATCTAATACTCTTAAATATTTTTTTACACATATTCAATATTTTAAAATATTTTATCATATCTTGAAATATTTTCTCATATGTATTTAGTATTCTAAAATATTTTCTGACAATGCATTTGAAAAAATATTTAAGAATCTAGTATTTTAAAGTATTTTGTGATCTCTTTGGTACCTAAAATATTTTTTCATATATGTTCATTATTTTAAAATACTATGTGACTAGGCTTACCTAAAAACATATTTTAAGATCTAGTATTCTAAAGTCTTTTATGATTTATCTAGTATTCTGAAATATTTTTTAGTATTCTAAAATATTTTATGATACAATATCAAGAAATAGAAAATTTTTTAAAACATTAAATGCATGTGAAAAAATATTTTAAGGTACTAAATAAATCATAAAATACTTTAAAATATTGAAAACATCTAAAAAAATATTTTTGAGTACTAGATAAATGTTAACCAAAAATAATTTTAATACATAATTACATACTTCTTCTGATTCTTAATATAAGAGTTAGTTTAACTAATTCAAGTGTACTACAAAAATTAGCTAAATTAGTCAGTTGTAATAAATAAGTATTGTTTTCTCTAAAATGCCTCTCACTAATTATGTTTATTAACTAAAATCAACAATTGATTAAATCTTTAACACGTACAATTATTATAAGGACTATATTGAAAAAAATAAATATATACAAGAGATAAAATAGATTAGAATATTATATTTAAGACTAAATTAAAATCAAGATAATTTTTATATTAATAATTTGAGATGGTATAAATTTTTTTGTAACAAAAAAAATAAAGTAAAAAAAATAAAAATACTCAGCACTCAAGTGCTCGGCACTCTGATGATCACGGAATGCGAACGCCATGATGTATCCTAAAGAATTTTCCAGTGCGAAAGGAATATGGGTGTTGTATAACTATAAACTAATATATGTAATGCAAGTTCCGGGCAACGTCCAAAGTAAACAACAGGATCCTAGCTACCTAGGCCTACATCTTTTCCACAATATAATCATATTGGAAATGACACTACCATTCTTTTTTCTTTTGTTTTTTTTTTTTGCCGTGACCGGGACAGCAGGCACTACTTGAAACATATTGACTGTAAACATGTTGACTCTTTTTCTGCTTCTTTTTTCTCATTTTATTCTAATCCTTTATTTGTGATTTCTCTTTCTACCGACTTCTTTTCCCATTGACAATTTAACATGAAGAAACGCGGTGGAATACAATTATTGCCGGACACAACCACATATGCTTGAAAAGCATGCTGATATGCCCCAGTATGATTTGACTCCACATTACTGCTAAGCGACAATACTTCTTTCGCTGCTTTTTATGATCTTTAATTTTCCGAAAAGATTTAGTTTAATTTTAGATCGATTTGAAATAGTTTATAAATAATTTTTCAATAGTGATTTATCAAATACGAGATAAATATATGAAAAAATTATCTCAGTTAGTTTACGTAAAACGTATTTATAGGGGATTTTTTAAACCCTTTCAAACAGGTCCTTTATATGTTACACTTTTTTTTTTTTATTTGTCAGTTTTTTTTCTTTGGAAATATCAGAAAATTAATGCCCGTGTATGATACAGAAAAGTGGAGGTGAGCAAGATTATAATAATCTAGCCATGTCTATATAAAGGGCACCCAGCATATAGCGGGTGAGCATTATCTAAACGCGAGAGATGGCACAGAACATTGTAGGTAACAACCAAACAAATAGCCAGATGAGTGACGAACTGATGAGAGATCTCAGTGCTCTCTATCGGGCAGCACGTCGTGGGGATGTGCAAGCTTTGGAGCATCTGTTGCAGCGAAACGCATCTATCCTTGACAACATTCCAGATGACGGCTGTGAAACTCCCTTACACATATCTGCACTGCTAAATCATACTTCATTCACACAGGTTCTTCTCAATCGTAATGGCGACCTCGCTACTAGAAAGGATGCTTCTGGAAGAACAGCCCTCCACTTGGCTTCTGCAGAGGATAACTTGGAGGCCGTGCAGAGACTGCTAGAATTTAATGATGAGCCATGCTTGGTTGCTGATAGAAAAGGAAGAATTCCTCTGCACTATGCAGCTATGAGGGGGAGGACAGAGGTTGTGGAAGCGTTGGTCATAGCACGGCCAGATTCTCTAGGTCGTTTTGACCCAGAAAGGAGCACTGTTTTTCACTTGTGTGTCACATACAACCGTTTCAAGACTCTGCAAGCATTGGTGAAATTGGACTATGCCACTGCTAATGTTACTGTAGGCACGCCTCGTGCTCCCATCTTTACGCTCCCTGATCGTACAGGAAACACCATTCTCCATTTAGCCGTCATGTACATGCGAGATGAGGTACATAATATATACTTTATTCTTTTATCCTTTTCTTTTTCTGAATTGTGGCCACAGTTTCCTTCTTCTTTTTAGTAGCCCAAGGCTTACATGACAAGAACAGAATATGAATATATAAACATTTTTCCAAACACACGTTGTGTGTTGTTGATTCACTTCATCTTGTTATGAAGAACCATACAGATGTGTTTTGATTTTCTTATTTTTTTAGGAGTTTATTGTGAGTTAGCGGCATATCAATATGCTAACATATAACAATTGGCTAGTTCTGATATGAATATGTAAGAACATGGTTATTCATGAACACAGCAATGCATTCACCATTGGCATGCAAATGAGCCGAATACCTTGCAAACGTGTTTGTATTTAGGCTGTCAGGTATGTGCTGTCAATTCCAGAAATAAGAGAAATAAGAAACCAGGAGAACAGGGAAGGCCTTACAGCCCGCGATATGCTCACATATATTTGTCCAAAAAACTGGAAAATCGATGAAATAAAACCCATGTTGGAAAAGGACGACAATATGGAAGGAAATTGTTTGATTAAGATTTTTAAATGGATGCTATGTTGGATGAAGCATGGGCATGATATAAATTTTGTAGAAGAGATGAGGGGGAATCTGAGCGCGGCATCTATTTTCATAGCAACTGTAACCTTTCAAGCTTTAATTAACCCCCCAGGAGGCTTCATTCAACAAGGCTTATTATCCCGAGGCAATACCACAAACTCATCATCTGACGCCCTCAACTGCACGACCCTTAATGATCTTCATCAGTATTGTCCAGGACAACCAGTCTCATCCTTTCGTGACCAACAAGGATTTCGGGACTACGTGGAATACCTTACTACGTCTTTTTATGGATCAATTTGTGTCACCCTCTTGCTTGTAAGTGGAGTTCCTTTGCAGAACAGTGTAGTCGTATGGAGTCTATCCTTGGGCATGTTGTTCACTCTCTTCTTTCTTGCACTTGCATACATCACCGCCCTCGACCTTATGACCCCAGCCCATCTTTTGATATCCAAATTGGACATCGTCACTCCCTGTGCATTTGCCTTGACTTTTGTGATGTATTTGATTCTAATGTTTCTGATTCCTTGCATCCGGGCTTTGTCATTGAAAAGTGCGCAGATTATGAGAAGGTTATCAGGAATCTGAAGTTAACAAGTTGCTGCTGATTGATCTGTAGCTACCAGTCAATGCCCACCTGTGTCGTCGGCAAGAGAAAAAGCAATAGATCATGCGACAGTTGCTTTTATAATTATTGTTCATACTTTTTGTAAATAATATACTACCTCTTATCCTTAATATAAGATCTTATTTAATTTTTATTTTGATCCTAAATATAAAATTCCAATCCATTTTGTCTTTCATATTTATGTATTTTTTTCTAAGATAGTCTTTCTAATAATAATAGTATTAACCAGTATACTTGATTAGCAAGGATATTTTAGAAAAGACAATATATATTTATTACAAATAACTAACTTAACTTATTTTCTTAATCTACTCAAATTAGCCAACTAGTTCTTATATTTAGGATTAGAGGTAGTATTACATATTAATGATTATTTATCTTTCAAATGTCTACATGATTTTTCTTCAAATTTTAAACTTGGGCAAATTAGAAATATAGGTCAGTATTATTTTGAAGGGCTCGTACAGGTCTCTATTGTATTCCCGTGACCTTGTTTTCAAAGTTAGAAATATAGTTTTGATAATGAAACAAATTGGCATAAAACTATAAGTCCGCCTGTATAACTCCAGGAATAATAACAATGACAACAACTAGAAGCTACTATTACAAAATGACAAATACTTGACGATTATTTTGGGTCATATTTGACAGTTGAAAACCGTTAAGTATATTGGCGTCATATATTTCAACCCCAGATATTTGACGGTTATTAACCGTCAAATATTACAATAATATTTGACGATTTTAAATGAAGAACCGTCAATTATTATTCAAACAATTGATGGTTTTTCAGAAAAACTATAAACTATTTGTCTAAATACTTGAATGTTAATATCAAAACCATCAATTATTGGAGAACAAAAATTGACGGTTTTAATTAGAAACCGTCAATTATAAGTAACCAATACTTGACGGTTCTCAAAACCGTCAAGTATGGTTAACAATACTTGACGGTTATTTGAGAAAAACCGTCAAGTATACTCTAATAATTGATGGTTCCTTTTAGAACCGTCAAGTATTATAGGAATACTTGAACGTTTTAAGTAATAACCGTCAAGTATTATGGGAATTTTTTTTAATACGCGTTTTGCTGTGCCAGCAGCCCCCCTGCAATTTTGAAATTAAACCTCATACAAAGGCTCATTCAACAGAACCATGCAGGCCAGCATTCCAATTCAGCCATATACATCTTAATGAACCAAAACCAAAAATAATTTACATTATTATATATACATGAACCAAAACCAACTGTGATATTAAAAAAACTTGTGTTTAAGGCAAGTAATATAAAAATTCTGGATAAGTACAAAAGGTGAACTAATTCCAAAATTAGACAATTGCCAAAGTTGTTCAATGCCAAAAACTAACCAACAGCAAAAAATGAACCAAAACCAAAATTGAAACAAAAGTTGTACATGCAATGTCTTAATGTACACTTCCTTGTCTATTTTGTGTCCACTGACAGAATAAGGCCATCACCAACTCTTCAACGATTTCTTCCATTTGAGCAGATGAATACACTGTGCAATATGTGTCAGCAAAGTACTGTATGCAACCACAAATTATGATATAAGTTAGATATAAATGTAAAGCTACAGTAAGTACAATTCTTAAATATATAAATTGAACTTTAACAAATGCATATTACCTGCGTAGGGATTGTGTTAGCATTGTGCATAATTATCTCCTTCATAAATTTCATCACGCAATATCCACAATGGGAGCTTTTTTTGGGCTGACGTGGGCATTGTAAAGAATAGAAAAGAAAATAATATTAGTTAATCATATAAATAAACCATATTTAGTAGAATAGTAAATAATGGTAATGAATACCTTCACTTTCTTCCACGGGAAGGTATTGTCAAATTGGCCGTTTTTTCCAGGGGGCAGGGTAAGGCTTGATTTGTGCAGTATAGCCACAAAGCCCTGAGAAGACAATAAAATTGAATATTAATGATTGTTAAAAATTAGATTGAAGCAAGAAATTAGATTAAATTTAAATAATAGATATAAATGTTACTTGTTGAACAATGAAACCAGAAATGGTCGATTAGTTGGATCCCCATAAAGAGAATCGAGATACCAAATCCTTAGCTTTGTGGGATTGACCACAATCAGCATCCAGTGTCCCCTAAGTATAAGAAAGACAATTAGAACAATTACAAATTATTTTGAAAATGAAAGAATTTAGGAAAGTTCAGTATACTACGTACGTACCTTTGACAGTAAGGCGCCAAAAACAAAGTCTGAGCCCCCAGTACTGTCCTAGAAATGAAGATATCCAACAAGTCTCTAGATAAGTCTTTCTTCACATCAAGTTTGTGGCCAGTAAAAGTGTGGAGGCTGATAATCTTGAACTTGTCATCAAGGTCACTGGAGACTATAAAGTTCTTGAAAAGATATCTAAATCAACAAACAAAGATATCAATAGGATAAATGCTCAAGTACTTAAGTATTTAGTTAAGGTTTTAACAAATACCTGATTTAAAAGTTACAGGAATTTGTGCTGGCCATTCCATGCGTTAGAATTTCTTTCAATACTTCATTCGTGACGTAGTCTGACAAGGGTCGACCGTAGACCTCTGGCTCAAACTCTAGGGGAATCGTGAAATCCTCGCTATGTTCTAATCTAACCCCAGCTGCATATTCCTCAAGACATATTCGGAATCTTGATGATACCGCTTGAATGGGCTTAGAGGGCTGCTTATGTGGCGATGATAATGAGTGATCACCCAATAGGCTCTTCTTCCCCTCAGACTGACAAACAGACTATTAGTAATTAAAACAGAGTTTATTTTAAATCAGCTGAATGTGTAGACCTATACATGTATACCTTTGAAGGATATCCTAATGTAAGAGGATGGCCAGGCCAAGCGACAAAGCTACCCACTGCTTGAGCCACTGTCTCTGCATCTGGGGTGGGCATCGAAAGGGCATAATTCGCATCAATAGCAGTGTTCAATTGCACCCTCACATGATCAGCAAGGAGAGGCACATTATGAATCATACTCTCCCCCGATAAATTGAACATGTTGCCCGTTGCAACAGTGTGATGTTTAGGGCTATCCGCTATACACTAAACGTTCGCTTCACCCTGATTTAACATGAGAAACAAGTTAGCTAGATATATAAATAATTGAATATTATTGTATAAACACAAGTATTATACCTTAGGTAGCAAGGGGAATGTGCAGCTGTCTTTGCCACTTGGGCTGAGATTCGGAGCCGGCTGTGGTGCTTGATTCTTGATCAACTGTTCGATTAGGAGTGCTTGCGCTTTAACTTGCTCCTTTAACCAGCGTGTTTCTTCCTTCAGATCCATGAACTCAGCAGAGAAGGCGTGCATGATGAAAAGGGCTTTTTTCAGTACCCAAGTAATCCCTCTTGGTGACTCCATAACTGACGCCCCTAAGAAGACCAGGATGGTCAGGAGTCCCCAATGCCCTCCTCAATATATCCTGGTCATCTGTAGAATATGCCCCCTGCGAAACTTCCTGGGACAAACTCTCCTGTGCAACAAACATTGACATAATTATTCATACTTAAAGATATTTGACAATAACGTGAGGATTATTTAATTTAGAATAATACTCACCATCCTGTCCACGACCTCCTTAACGTGAGGATTATCAATTTGGCCATCTTTATTTTGCCTGGCCAATGCCCACAGCATCTGACGGGATACAGTGACATCTGATCCCTCCTTCTGAGTCACCTCTTGCTCGAGGCCCGCATAACCCAAGCGCCCCTTTCGGTAGGGATATTCATTCTTCTTTACCCTTTCCTCATTTTGGGCACTTAATTCCTACAAAAACAAAATAGATTCACAATTAAACAGTATATAGATTAAACAAAATGGACTATTTAATATCGAAAAGAGCGAGGATTATTACTTGAAATTGACTATCACGACGTGACATCACAAAAGCAGCCCAATCCTCTGGTTTGACCAAGTCCCGTATCAAGCTAGGAACCTCAGACTCGTCAGCTGTGGAAGGATCCTTCAAGTACTTGTGTGTCACAAAGTATCGAAAAGAGCGCAGTGTCCTCCCAGCCTTCCCCTCCACAAACTTCTTCCTACTCTCATCTATATCAAATGCAGATTGCAAAACATATAAAACAACACATTAGTGTCACACAGCTTGTAAGAAAATGAAATTTGAGTTGTTGTTAATATTACCGATACATCTGTCCAAATAGCGTCTCACGCTAAATGATCAACCCTCCTCCAGTGCTGCACTGTAATGGGCACGGTGCTTCGTGCCACTATCCCAATATAGCTAATAAATTTATTTGACCGTACAGCTTGTCCTTTCTTATTCCACTGTACGGCAAATTTCTTTCCTTCTGTTCGAGCTTTCACGACCTCTTGCATGACATGAAGGCCCCTTTGTATGCGTACTACCTCGTCTTGCAACTATCTCTCCTGGTCAGAGGCATCTCTCGGTTGAGATGGATTATTGGTGCTAGATCTGCTATCGTCTGCCATCTGCAATGAAATTCAATTAAACAAAATGAATCAGAATCCATTAAATGAAAATAAAGTCATTAATGACGAAATTGACTTGAACAAAATTAAAACAAATAAAAGAATCAAAGAAAATAATAAGAGAATTTACATGCATGTTTAAGAAGATCTTTTTCTTTTTCTACTCTTATGTTTTTGCATATTCTTCTTGGTTTGAATTGTTTTGATTTTCTTACGAAACACTTTCCCCCTCTTTGAAATCCATATTACGTCGTTATGATCATGCCTAACGTACATGGATTGATCTTCATTTAAATGAGAATCAAGTGATGTCCCTTGAAATGGATCATCTTCAACTGCATTGTCTTCATACGCCGTCTCTTCAATATTCATTTTATTAGTCAACAAAACAATAGACCATCCTTTAGTAGCTGGGTCAGGGACATAAAACACTTGTGTAGCCTGAGAAGCCAAAATGAATGGCTCTTCCTTGTATCCTTCCTTATTCAAATTCAATTGTATGAACCCTAAGTCATCAATCCTCAATGCATTATTATTATCCACCTACTTGCAACCAAATACTGAAACTCTGAATTCAATGTAATCCAACTCCCAAATAT